AGGATTGTCAATCTAAAACAAACCCATATTCACTTTGACTTGTGAAGATCCTTCAGCTCCTGTAAAGAGAAGATAGATTGTAGAACACACTTCTTACTGTAAGTGTATTATGAGTTTTAAAAATACTGACTTTTTTTGAGATTCTGTAAGTAAGTTGGCACTTTGATGTGCTGAGCAGAAGGGTGGTGACCAGGCTTCACCAACACAGGTCTGGTACGTCTGGTTGCAGGCACTGGCGTTCGAAACACTGTGTTGAACTCCATTGTGGGTTTTTGTAAAACTAGAGTGAAATATAAACAAATAAAGTCAGTAATCAAGAGGTTTAGGAGATTAATAAAATCTGACCAGTGTGCTACGCACCTTCATTTGAGAGTGTAGAATGAACAATGTTGCCGACACCAACTGCGTCAGAATCAAACTTGTACACCGAAAAGAGACGATGGAGTCCAGACAGAGGATACGTACACTGCACCTTTACCCTATAAGACAGTCAGTGTTGCAGTTATAGTAATTTAGAGGGGTAAATAACTGAAAGTATAGGAGGTTAGAGATTTATACCGGTCAATCTCAACGCTGGAATCTGATGGATTTTTCTGAAGATTGAACTTCCTGCTGAAGGAAATCTCGTTTTCGTATGTCACATATTCCTTACCAAGCTGGAAAAACAAGAATTTTGAGTACAGTAATGTTAAAGTCAAGTTGATTGAATGCTACTGTTATGTTAGACTGTAATGATCAACTCTACCTTTATTATGGATCCACAGCTGTTGAGGGGGAAAGAGAAGAGAGCCCTGGTGTCGTCTGCTTCTTTGGGTCCACAGTATGTGTTCAGGAGGTTGCTTCTAGCAGGGATTCCTCCACTTGAGCTGGCCAGAGACAGGTCYGCCATCACAGTCATCCTGCCATCAGTGGAACACACTGCAGAGAGACGACTTTTAGTTCATGTGTCAAACCCCACTTGTTCTCATAGTAAAAGACAGGATGCTCTTACAAATGAACTCYGCAGTWGTGAATGGACACGTCTTCACGGTTGAACTCTGGACCTCTGATGTTTCATGATCTCGAATGAGGATTTCAAAAGTACCAAGGAATCCTTTCAGAGCAATGTCCTGCAAAACACAGCTTGGTTATAGCTTGACATGTTCAAAACAACTGGCTCCCTGCAGTATGAGTCTGTAGTAGTTTTCCTCATCGTACCTCGTACACAAATCCTTGAGTGAAGAGCGGCACCTCGATCAGCAGACTCTGGCTATTGTTAGTCATGATGTAGCCGTTCTRGGTTGCCAGTTCTGGCGTCAGCASGTCAGAAGCGATYCTGATGTACCACAGYTAGTCAGAAGGCCGGTGGTCTAGTTTGAAGCTGATGCCAGACTCAGAACAGACAGCCTCAAACTCCGGAGGAGCTGATGGATAAWGTAGAATGAATAACTCAATTCTRTTTGGTTTGACAGAGTYAAAATACAAGGTTTGTGACTTACAGACATCCGATAGTGCCATAACTGAGGTCAGGTAGAAATAAGAATCATTCTCAGGCAGAACTGTCAGTGTGAAGTTGACCTCCAGTATGTGCTTCATAGCTGAATCTTCTTTAGAGAACTGCAGACAGAACAATACAGATTCTTACAGATTTAGATGGACGACAGCACCATTTATAAAACCAGCCTGAGGTTTAGAGACAGTTTACCTTCTGTATGACAACAGAGTCATCAAAAGGCACCTTCAGAGTGTAGCCATGGGTGTTGTTGGGATGAACAACCTTTGTGAGGCTCTGYCTTCTCTCATTTCTGGWTATAAATTTGTGTTCGTTCAGCTGAACAGCAGAGACCACAACATCCTCAGGAACATCTCCCAGGTAGATTGTGAACACTCGTTCCTCGAGGACTGTTCCTGAAATGAAAGAGACGTTTAGATGGAGCTCGTTTTAATAAAGGTTAAGTCAAAGATAAACTTACGGTTCTCTGTAAAAACAGGACATGGCAGCAGAGGAGTTGCAAGTGTCCTGTGATAGCGAATTCTGGAGTCAACATGATCCTCATCCACTGAGATTAGCTCCAGATAGAGATGGAAGATGTAGTACTCATAGAGTTCATCAGACAAAAAGCTCTGAAAAATATTTTGTTTAACACATCATCATGTCAGAATAAACACCACAACTGATATGCTCCTCTATACCTCACCTTCCTGTATCCTCCTTCAGCATTATAGGGGATGCTGATCTCCACTGAGCCATTGTGCTTCTCCACATTGTAACCTCTCTCCTCTGCAACAGGCTGCACCACAAGTTCACCACTGACACCGATGTTGACCTGTGTGTTGGTCAGACCAGACACCAGCGGTTGCAACACCACAGGAGTCTCCCACAACATGTATCCACCCTCATCATACGATCCATTGGCTGTGGAGAAGACACCAATATAAAACCTTTACTTGTTCGTCAAGGGAAAGAAGCCACTGCATAAAATATAGTGATACTGACACATGGAGCAAGCAGCCACAAGGTCGACCATGAGGACAACCCAGCTTTGTCTGGAGAACAGAGTTGCATGGATGACCTCTACTGGAACACCATTCACCTGGAGAGAGATGCAAGTCAATTGCTTTGGAGTAAATGCTTCACAAGACAGGCACTGTACAGTGAATACAATTAGTGTTGAGGAATTATCAAATCCTATGAACTAGATAAACGGCTGTGGTTTACCTCAGAGCTAAATGAGTCAGGTTGTCCATATGGTGCACGAAACACAAGCCGTCCCTCTGTCAGGTCAAACACATAGCCCTGCTTGTGAGCTTCAGACAGTTCCATGGGATTCAGCTGCTCCTCCGCTTTCTGAAACATCACCTGCCAGTCTGACGTGGCTGAAGCATATGCCTGGGAAGATTGTTTAAAACACTGGTGGTTTACAAAAACAAAAAAACACTAACAGCCATTTAAAACTTTGCTTTCAAATCTCCGAGAGAGCAAAAGGGTTTACATACAGTTTGGACAGCAGCATTCCAGTCGTCTCTCTTTGTCCCAGTTGGACACGCCACATCACTCCTTACAGACACCTATGGAGGATCATGGTAAGCAAGCAGCCAAGATAGTTCTAAATTATAAATATTAAAATGTAACTAAGCACACCTCCATGTAACTGGCCTCACAGGTAACTTCTCTCGGAGACCAGGGCAGAGCAGGAGAACAGGTCTTACTTAAAGCATAGGTGACCTCCTCTCCTTCATGGTTTGCAATCAGGTTGAAGCTGAATGTGAAAACTTCATCATCCTTGAAAAAATAATGCAGAAATAGGAAATTTCAAGGAGAGTCAGCCACATGTCCTGCATTTAGAGTAATTGCCTTTGTTTGGATAAATCATAGCCTACTTTGTTGTCAACCTGACAGCTGAAGTAAGAGGCCCGGAGCTCCACATTGCCGTTAAGGAGAACACTGACAGTATATCCACACACAGCTGCATTCTGCTTTGTGATGGGGTAAATGCCTGTTTCATCTGCAAGAGAAACATTAGTTTGAGGCTCAAACTCTTATTGCACTCCTCTGTGAAAGGTTACAGATGTCACATTTCAACTTCAATCTAAAAATGGACAGAGATTCATTGGGTGGGGGTTCATTACTTCCTCCACCCGTGGGACATAGTAAAGATTGCTGTAGGGGTTAAAGGTGCAGGACTCACCAACAGCCTCAAAGCGGGCTTCATTCCCAGCAAATGAGAGATCAGTAGCTATCATGAAGTAGCGATCACGACACTCCATATGAACTCCTGTATGAACAAACAATGAGAGCTTAATGTATGCCAATGGTTTGAGATAAATGTGTCTGCAGCCTTTAACTCTTACCACTGGGAATCTGGTCACATTTTGCAGTTGACCACATAGACAAGAGCAGGGCGAACCTGAAAGACAAAACCCACATGTAAATAAATCAAGCAACAGGTCAACAAAGTGCTTGTAAATGATAATCAAAGAGTCTCACCCAAGGCTGAAGCAAAAAGCCATAGTTGCTGATGTGTTGGCAGTGTCTAAAGCTAGCCTGGCTGCTAGCAAACTACACCTGCTGACCAACACAAGCTAATGTCAAACACTTGCTTGATACAACCTGATCGGACTGGCACCATGTTGTTCTGTCTCCTTAAACCTGCCTTTATAGGTCACTTCATTCACCAGCTAATCAGAGGCCTCCAGGTGACACATGTGCAGCTCATTGGCAATCACAGTGACGTCCAATCACCAGCAGCTGATCAGGTTGGAGTTGACTTCACGTCCAACCTCATGAGGTCAAGTTAATAACTTATAAAAGCAGGTGAAGGACACAGAACCACATGGTGCCAGTGTGATCCGTTTATATCAAGCAAGTGATTCAGCTTGTGGTAGCAGGTGTAGTTTTTCTAGCAGCCAGGCTAGCTTTAGACACTGCCAACACATTGGCAACTATGTCTTTTGGGTTTCGGTGAGTTGGATTGGTGGCAAATAAACAGGGTCATATTTACAACTGACATTCAGAAGTGTCAAGTTGTGTAAATTGTGTGTATTTGTCTTGCAGCATAGCCTTACTCCTGTTTGTATTGTTGCCTGCAAAATCAGATGACATCCCTGACGGTAATTAAATTAAATCTGTGTAGGCTTGTAAGAATTAGGAGATTGTAGAGACGTAAACATGTTTGTTCATACAGGAATTCATCGTACGGAGTGTCTTGATCGCTACTTCAAGATAGCTGTTGATATTTCCTTCACTGGAGAGGAACCTCGCTTTGAGGCTGTAGGTGAGTCCGGAACTGTTTCATTAGGGCGTAATTTTGGGTTAATCCAACAGGGCCCAGCGTCAAATACTGGATTATTATATTTTTATTTCTTAGCAATTAATAATTGCTTGATATACCTCAGGAAAAATCACTTTCTTTGAATTGTCAGATAATACCAGTAGCTGATAGCTAAAGTAAACATATTTTGTCTGAATTACATTGAATCAAGAAAACCAACAACTCAATTATCTTTTTAAAACTGTAGATTTTATTTATTCAATGTGATGGTATGATTTTTGGGGGGGCTGTACAGGCTGGTTTTGATTATTGGTAGAGTTGCACCCCCCTCTTTTGCTGCAAGGAACCATTACAGGGATCTAAATTTGCTTTTTCATCAAACCATGCTTCACATAATCCTGACACCTATTAAATTACTCTACATGATCATTTATTTCAACTCTAATCTTGAGCGGAAGAGAAGAAATGTTACTCTTGAACTATAAAACACCTTTTTTGCAAAAACAAACCCTAGATTTAACTTTGCAGAAACTGATTTAAAAATTATGCAGTTTTTAAACTACTTTCCATTTCTTTCAGATGGAACAGGTGTTTACCCAATCACTCAGCAGTATTCAGCCGAGTGTGGCTACACCGTTCTCCCTCTACCAGGCCAAGTGGAGCTCCGAGCCTCTTACTTCAGCTGTCACACTGACAACAAAGTACATTCAAACACACACAAAAAAATACAGGCATTCTGTGGCTAATGGGAACAAAATGGTAGCCATCCTCCCTATTTATAACTTTCTTCGCTCTTTCAGGATGATGAGGTTTTCACATTCAACTTCAACCTGATAGCAAAGCATGAAGGAAAGGAGGTCACCTATGTCTTGAACAAAAGCTGTTCTCCCTCTCTGGCCTGGTCTCCAAGAGAAATTACCTGTGAGGCCAACTACATGGAAGTAAGCTTGTTTTATATTTTGAACACTTTTTATTACGTATTCAGACGTTAACTAATTTTGATTTCTCTATAGGTGTCTGTGAGGAGTGAGGTGGCCTGTCCATCTGGAGAGAAGAGTGATGACTGGAATGCTGAAAAGCCTGTATGTTAAAACCTGGTTGAATGTTACTGAGTTTTTTATCTTCAGCAGCCACTTGTATATATTTATTATATTCCAGGCCCAAGCTTCAGCTGCTTCAGACTGGCAGGTGATGTTTCACAGAGAGAAAGAGCAGTTGAAACCCATGAACCTCTCTGAAGCTCGTAAGCAGGGCTATGTGTTTGACCTGACGGATAGACGTCTTGTGTTTCGTACACCATATGGACAACCTGACTCATCCAGTATTAAGGTAAACAGCAGAGATGTAATGTCTTGTCTTGTGAAGCATTTATTCCAAAACAGGTTCTGACTCTGTTTCTGTCCAGGTGAAGGGTGTTCCAGTAGAGGTCGCTCATGCAACTCTGTTCTCCAGACAAAGCTGGGTTGTCCTCATTGTCGACCTTGTGGCTGCTTGCTCCATGCGTCAGTATAACAATCTTTTATACTGTGGCTGCTTTCCCTTGATGAACAAGTAAATGTGCATTGTTTCAATCTCCACAGATGAAGGATCATATCATGACAGTGGATACATGGTGTGGGAGACTCCTGAATTGCTGCACCTGCTAGCGTCTGGTCTGAACAACACACAGGTCAACATCGGTGTCGGGGGTGAACTTATGGAGCAAAACGCAGCAGAGGAGAGAGGCTACATTGTGGAGAAGCACAGCAGATCACTGGAGATCAGCATCCCCTATACTGCTGAAGGAGGATACAGGAAGGTGAGAAGGCACAGTAGTGTATTTGTTAAAACTAGAAAGTGGGTAGATTAAACCATAGACTTTATATAAAGATAGACAGCATGGCGGCTCCCATGAAACTCAAGCCAAAGAGCCTTGAGCACCCCCTGATGGCTGATATGAATACACATTTTTACAATTCTGTTGTATTGTAATGCATTAAATATTTACAGCAGCCAGGCGTATTATTAATGTGAGTGTGCTGCTTTCTTTGCTTTAGTAGCATTTAAGAAAAGCAATAGAACAAAACTATTGACCTGAATTTTAAACTTGTCATATCTTGCAGAGCTTTGTGTCTGGTGGCCTCCACGAGTTGTATGTCTTCAACCTCTACTTGGAGCAAATCTTTGTGGATGAGGATCTCGCGGAGACCAGACTGAGGTTTCACAGGGCACTGGCCACTCCCATGCTGCCGCGTCGCCTCTTCACTGAAAACCGAACTGTTGTTGAAGAGCACATGTTCACCATCTACCTCGGAGATGTCCTCGATGACATTGAGCTGTCTGCAGTTGAGCTGAATGGGCACACGTGTGCCTCTCCGTTTACAAATACAAGTGGCTACTCTATCACCAAAGTCGTTCATCCCAACAACACCCATGGCTACACTCTGACGGTGCCTTTTGGTGACCCTGTTGTCAAGAATCAGGTAAAAGGTCTTCGGTATGATTTTGTTTCTTTTATGCATTATAAGATACTATCTAACAATTGAGGTCAGTAAATAGTGTGTGAACAACTGTTTTGAAATCTGCATTTTCAGCAATTTTAAGCAGGAAATGTATTTTCTAGTTATATTTTCTCTCTTCTAGTTCTCTAAAGAAGATCAAGTTATGAAGCACATGCTGAAAATTGTCTACACACTGACCGTTCTGCCTGAAAATGAGTTGTATTTCCACCTGACTTCAGTCATTGCACTATCAGACATCTGTAAGTCACAAACCTCGTATTTTTACAGTCAAACCAATTGAAAAATTGAGTTATTCATTCTACTGTATCCATCAGCTCCTCCAGAGTTTGACACGGTCTGTTCTGAGTCTGGCATCAGCTTCAAACTGGACCACCGGCCTTTTGACTACCTGTGGTACATCAGTATCGGTTCTGACCGGCTGACGCCAGAACTTGCAACCCAGCACGGCTACATCATGACCAACGACAGCCAGAGTCTGCTGCTCGAGGTGCCGCTCTTCACTCATGGATATGAGTACAAGGTAGGATGAGGACAATTGCACTTTTAATGAATCTGCAATTTGTTAATGGAACAAATCTTTGTACTGGGAGTAATCATTTTTTTGTATTTGCAGAACTTTGGTTTGAAGGGCTTCCTTGGTACTTTTGAGATTCTGGTGAAGGATCAGGAAACATCAGAGGTCCTGAGTTCAGCTGTCAAGACTTGTCCATTCACTGCTACTGAATTTATTGGTAAGAATGTCCTGTCCTTAACTGGATTAATTGTGGACTTGACACGCAGATGATTATTTTTTTTTTACTATTCGTCTCTCTGCAGTGTGTTCCACTGATGGCAGGATGACTGTGCTGGCCAACTTGTCTCTGGTCAGCCCAAGTGGAGAAATCCCTGCAAGAAGCAACCTTCTGGACACATTCTGTGGACCCAAAGAAGCAGATGACACCAGGGCTCTCTTCTCTTTCCCTCTCAACAGCTGTGGATCCACAGTCAAGGTTGTGCTCATGCCAATTAAACTAAAGCTCGTCTCTAGAAAAAATTAACCCCGACTGGAGTTTATAAGTTAAATGATTGAAGAAAAGATGGGTAAATACTCACTTTTTCTTTTATTTACACCTTTTTAGCTTAAGAAGGAAAGTGTGATCTATCAAAATGAGATTTTCTACAGCAAGACAGACTTAAGTGAGAGCGAGGAGGCCACCGAGTCAATCACTGAGAGGTGTGTATCACATCTTTACTATTTAAATTCCTTTGAATTACCGCCATGGATCCATCAATCCTTTTCTTCCAGGTTGATAGTGCAGTGTTCGTACCCTCTGGCTGGGCTCCATCGCCTCTTCTCTGTGTACAAGTTTGATTCTGACACGGCCGGCATCGGCGACATCATCCACACTTCGCAGTCCACCACAGGTACAGTAGGGGGGGTCACCTGATGGACCTCATCGGTTATCAGTCCTCCAACATTCCTTGTAGTTTTTGAGCTTTGTTTGTGTTCCTGTGCAGAAGCTCCACAGACCACAACCGTCAGGCCTACCACAGCGCTCCGGACCACACCGGCTGCCAAAAGGACATCCAGAGCAATGGCAGCTTTCCAGCCTGCTTTCCACCCGCCTGCTCGCTACATCAGAGTTTATCCATTTCAGAATTTTCATTCAATGATAAAAGGCAAAAAACAAACTATATTGTAGAATCATTTTTAAAGAGTTACGGTCTCAGTTTGTTAATTTCTCATATTTCTTCACAGGCGTTCAAAGAGCTTCACAAACCAAACTCAACCCTAACCAGATTTAAAGGATGTAACATTTTATATTTTTTTAGAAAACTCTGTAATTGAATAAAATTGTGTTCTTAAATTCTGTCTTTGTGCCTTTTTGTATTAACACCTACAAAGTGACAAAGAAAGCTTTTTAAGATCTGTGGGGCTACATCTTTATTTAAAGATTCAAGTTTAGATTTTGTACATAGATGCAACTCTGTTGAAATGGTGGTGAAGATGTTGTTTGGCTGCTAGAGGGACACTTAAAGGCAATAAAATGGCAAATGCAGTTTAAAAATGAAAAGGATTTCCCTGTAGAAAAAGTGCTATGTTAACTGATGTGAAAGATCCCAGATACATTTTACTGTTGTGATCCAATGATTTTAAAGTATACTACGCACTTATTGCTTCCTTGCTATTGTGGCACATTTTGCTTTATAAGAGCTTGATCATCCTAAACTGATTTAAAGTGTCTCCCAGTCATCGTTGCCTTTCCTGCACTGGTTTGAACCTCGCTTAGCAAAATAACATGTTAGAGTTGGACACAGACTTTAAATCTGCCGATTAGAGGAAAATGTAGGGCTCATACCTGACATGTCATCTAGAATAGTTTAAGTATGAACTTAAGACATTTCTATAGCACTCACCTAAACATGGTTAAAATGTTTTAAAAGGCTGTCTTATAAAACAGATAGTAAAGCAATTTAGAAAAGGTTAGTGCTGAAACTTGCATTTTAATTGTATATTTGGGTCATTTTAACAATATATAACCAGGAAAATTTACTTTTTTTATCTAACTAAAACATATCGGCACAAATCTTTATCTTCAAAATATGCGTGGAGGGGATCATTAAAGTTTTTTGTGACCATAAGCTATAAAATGTCATTTTTATTTCAGATTGTATTTAATATTTAAAATGTTATTCTGTCTTTGGTCAAATATCTTAATTAGCTTTATTTGGAGACACTCGGTGCAGTTTGCTTGATAATGACAAAGTGGGAACATGAGGACATTCAATAAAAACTATTCTAAGTGTGTTTTAAAGTGAATGTGTAATTTTAGTTTAGCGGTTCAGTCAAACATACATCCACCGTTAGGGGGCGGTAGTTCCCACCTGTTAGCGTCGAGCATTTGTTTTGGTTAATTTCTTCTTCTTCTCGCCACGTGTGTCTGTTTTCGCTCCTCAAACCTGCGCACAAGATGAACCCCAGAGACGAACATCCCCCCGTGAGTTCTCCACCACTTTCTTTTTTCAGTTTAAATGCAACCTTGAACTTATCAGCTCCATTTCCCTTGTCCCCCCTCGCTGTCAGAGGCCCAGGCCTCCGGTGGTCCCCTCCGTCTCCTCCCGGACCCTGCAGCACCCCTCCTTCCTGCCTCTGTACCTGGCCGCTGGGTTTGCTCGACAGCATGGAGGCTGGGTCAACCACACAGGTGAGTCCACATCTGTGCGCCAGCTTCATGCAGCCAGGCAACATCTGTGCAACATCTGTCTCACTCTTGTCTCCTCCTCAGTCCAGGCCATCACCCCCGAGGAGTTCTACTACACTGACCCCACCGCGAGCTGGGGGAGGCGGATCCCCAACATGGTGACTGATTTTGGGGTGAGTCTGCAAAGTGCTGGGCCTTCATAAAATCATTTCCATATCCCAGTATATTTAGGTTTTATACTTTAGTGTCATACACATATTAATGTTGTATCATTAGGTGTTCTTTTCATTTATGCATTTGTTGTCAGTTTATTGTATGCAGTGCTTACAATGACAAGAAGGGATTTCTTAAGTGGTTGCCACGGTACTCATAAAATCCTACTCTTATACACTTAGTTTCATTCCCTTACCGTACCTTGTGTTTTGGAATGTCAATAAATCTTGAATATTGAATTAAGTTATATTCAGAAAACACTTTCTTCTCATTAAACAAGAAATTTAGATTAAGGAAATTCATCAGCTATATCAGGGCAGGGCTCATATCTGTTCATATCTATAATTATCACATTGTTTTTTCTTTTAAGTTTTAAGACTTTAAGATTTTTGCTCCTGAGTGAAGGTTATGGTTTCATAACACTTACAGGTAGATGAGGTCGATCAATTATGTGTTATACCTCCTTACGTTACACAATGAATAAGCATGACATCAATATATACTGGACCTTTGTTATATGTGACAATTAGATTATTTATTTTATTGCCCAGCCCTAATATACCAGTAAACTGGAAAAAACAAGCCATTTACTTTCCCATAAAATGTTCCAATTATTAAAATTTCATTGTTCTTTAACTTGAACTTAAATAAATCACCTTAAACCATCACCAATGTATTTGATACAGTGATCCATCTGAAGTTTATTAGGATTAGAATTAGCCCGTGGGGACGGCCTTCCCTCTGAGGCTTTAGTTTGGGGGTGTAGAGTTTATGGAGGGGATCAGACGGACCGGGACATTTAATAAGAGCGGCTCAGGCCTGTCAGTCGGAGCTAAGACCCTAAACCTGTGGGCGAGAAGGAAATTAAAACTGAGAGCAACGGAAGGGTCAGTTTTGTTTTGTAGCAAGAGACAATAACAGCACAAGAGGGAATGGAAGGAGTGAGAGAGTATGACAATAATGAGATGTTAAACAGGTGTATCCATTTTCTTTGCAGAAATCACTTCTAAGCTTCTGCACACACTTTTTTCTGCATTTAAACTCCAAACACAAACTTAAATTTTCCTTTCAGTTCTATGATTGTTTCCAGCTCAACACTCCACCACCGGTCATGTCCGCCTGCCTGGCCCCACCGAACTGCTCAGACCCGTTCGGACCTGGGCCTCACCCCACTAGAGACCTGGGCAGCCCCAAGTGGAAAACGAACCCCGGCCATTTACCAGTGCAGTCAAGCCGGGGCATTTTCCAGCTCACCCAGGAAGAGGACCAGGCCATCACTAACCTCCTGAAACTGCACCACCAGGAGCCTGGACCCGGTGATGAGACCCCGACTGAGGAAGTGTGCCAGTCCTCCTTTGGGGACGGGCAACATCCGAGTCAGGATGATTTTGGGGATCAGCTGCAGGAGGGAAGATATTGGTCCGAGGCAGAGCTTGAAGCGGCTGACACCCTTCTGAGTCGCTTTAGCCTCGTGGAGGACGACAGAATCTGGGCTCAGTGCCTCCAGAAAACAGCAATAACACCTCCTGATCCTCTCCCACACCAGAATAATACAGATTTGGCGTTAAGCACCGAAACCTAACAAGGATCTGAGTTTAACCACAATAAAAGCCACTCATTCCGCTGAAAATGTCCCTGGGACGAGAAGCCAGGCTGCGGGGACTTCTTCTGTTGAGGACGTTAGTGTCATTGGAATCGTAGGAACTTTGAATGTCCTGCAGGGATGGTTTCAAACCTGAGGATCCCATTGTCCATGGATGGAAACATAAGCCGAGCTTAATTTTTGTTTTTTTTGTGTTGAGAAAAGTAAATCTACTAAAAAATCCTTTATTTGTTTATGAGGCTAATTTTCCCTTTCAGGTGAGAAGGAACTCAGTATTTTCATGTCTCTGTTTTGAGTGTTGCACATTATTTTCCATCAGTGTTCATTTAAAAAAAAAAAAGAAAGATCCACAGTCTGACTGTAGCTAAAAAGTTTTTTTATTAAAAGCACTGCTAGTGTTTTTGAAGGAAAAGAATCCTCCACTCATTATTTACAACATATTGTACATTCGCAGTTAATACATAAATAATACAAACTCTTCACTGCAGATGGAGCTGCAGCATTACTCCACAACGACCAGTGGCATAAGCTGACGTGCTAGTCAACGGCTCCTGAAACATGAGAAACATCGACAGCTCAGCTTCCATTCACATGCATGTCCAAAGCTTTTGTGCTTGTTAGAAGTCTGGGGTTTGTAGTTTTGGGATTTATTGAAGTGACTAGATTTATTTTTCCAGCAGCCAATCTCTAATCTGTCAAATCGAATCACAGAATGTGTCACATCTTAAACTCTCCCCGCCTCGCTGACAGCTGACGTGTTTGTATGCGTGACAGGAATGAGGAGGACATAACTCGACTATGCATGTGCGAGTTCTACAGGAACGCCTGTCTCTTTTCTTTGCAGCAGGTTTGACTATTTTCCTTGTTATTGCAGGAATGATTGGCACGTCGGTCTGGCTGTTTGGCAGCTGTGCACGAGGTTAGTGCAGGGCTGCTCAGTTATTGAACGCAAACATGCACAAACGACATAGTTGCTTGGAGCTTCAGTGATAAATGATTTACGTCAAGTTCCGAGGTGCTTAAATGCACACGCACGTGCACGCACACACACTTGTATAAATAAATTGATGATTGCAGGTCTTTTGTGACGTTTCCTCTTTCCTTTCCTGGGTGTTAGAAGCTGACACTTAAAACCAATTAAAGCCCCTGAATAATCTTTGTACAGCATTTTCCATTTTGGAAAATGATTCAATGTAAACTTCAACTAGGTCGGCACTAATTGATGGTGCGGGCCTTGGTGTTGGAGACCATAGCCGCGGCCTGAATGACCCTGTAGCGTTCTCGGAGGTTTCGCCTCCGCACGTGCTCGTTGGTGATCTCTATGACGTTTCCCACGGGGAACCAGCCCTGCTGTCCGTCTGACAGGCGGCTGCCTTCGTACCAGCCTGAGAGAAAAGAGAGGAGAAGCAGGAGAGGGGAGGAGAGGGAGGAAGGGAGGAGAACAACAAATAGGGGAAGATTGGAGGCGTCTGTATCGTTCATGCAAGAAAGTCAAAACAAATCAATAAACTGCTAAGGTGGAGGGTGGAGGATTGTCGCAGTTTCGAGGATCAGGGTGTTTGAACGAGCAGAGTAAAGGGAGGGGTCATGTTAATCACATAATGTAAAATCACATCAGTGCATTTGACTATTTTAATAGGAACCCTGTCTCTACTGCATTTTACTGATCACACCAAATGTAGGCAAATAGAAGAATAGTGGGTTCATTTGATGATCTTGTTTTGGATTTAGAAAAGCCGCTTCTCTCTGCAACAGATAAATAAACAACTCTTCCTCCGTCTTGGGATTTCCCACGTTCTTACCCTCATTGGTTTTGCGGATGATGTTGACGATCTCAGTGGGCTCCAGTGTGAGCTCGTCCGCCTGCTGGGCGATGTACTGCTCCACACACTGCACCTGAGGACAGTCTGACACACAAACGCACGACATTTGAAAAATCGCCATAACATAAATAGATGCATCACTTTTTTATGCTTGCGTTTGTTCTTCCTCACCCCAGTCTTCATAAATCACTTCATCTTCATCGGTGGTTGTTTTGGTGGGGTTTGGGAAAGCTGCCATCCACCTGTGCATGTCTGACCTGTTGACGGAAACGGGTCGAATTTGTTACGCGTCTCAAAATGCCTGATGTTATGACAACATTCCACACTCGCTGCACGCTGCTTCTCTCTTGTTGCGGAATGAGACCCGTGTTGCGTCATCAACTCACTGGGAAGGAGCTTTGAAGAGTCGCTCAAACATTCGCCCCTGATGGTTTTCCAGCAGGGTGAGATTGAAGCAGTGCTCGTAGGGGCCGCCGCTGCCGCTGCCACTCCCGCCCTCCTCCAGTGGCTGCATCTGCACCAGAGAGCGGTGGGCGTGGTCGACAACCACAAAACGCTCCGCACTGCTGAAGATAAAGAAATTAAAAAAGACACATGATGCTTTTACATCCTGAAGCTGCTGAAATGCTTCTTCATCGTTTTTCCCAGATGCATCCTCAATCATCAGCTTTGTCTGACACGCCCCCAACTACCACGGGGAAGGCGATTTCAGAACCCGGGTTAAGAGGGACAGTATCACAGTTTCTAGGAGACGCTGTATTTTGAAGTATGAAGGGAAGTTTTGTCTGTTTTCACTTTCAAAAGATTTTCATGTAAGTTTTGACTCGAAGCTGAGCTTTAAGAGATACTGTTGTATTTCATAAAACAGGCGTGTTGCATTTGTTTTGTGTTTCTTCTATGCCCAAAAGTGAAATATTAAAAATCGGCTCCTCTGTCTCTCTCTTTCTCGGTTCTCCTCACACACCACTTCCTGCTCCCTGTGGGGAAGTGTGCAGTAATTTCACCTCCTGTTGTGATGGTAGCATTCATCATCGTTGAAGTGGCGTAATGACAGCTCATTAAAAGGAGACAGCGGGAAATCTTCCTGCCGCAGTCTCATTTCTACTGGGTCTATATGACATAACAACTGAAGAGTGACATGAGTTTACAGACCACTCCACCACAATGTTAACTGTAAGCCAGGATTTATTGTGGCTCATAATCAGATCAGTTGTTTATCAGAAGCTGCCGGAACTATCACTTTCAAATTCAACCCTGTCCCATGACTTACATGATTGTTTAGGGCACTAGAGCAGAGTGATGCCTGAATTAAATTATTAATAAGAAATGATTCTATAATGTTTTATTTTATCTTGTTTTTACACTTTCTGCCTTTTGTTTCTGTTGTTTGCCTTCAATTCTACATTTTTCACTTGTACAGCACATTGGTACTGTGTTTTGAAATTTGCTATATAAATAAAGTTTCTTATAATAATAATTATTATTATTATTACTGATAGAAGTTTTGAAAACCATGGACAGAAAATGTTGGTATGACTCAGCCCTGCTCTGTTCTGCTTTATTACTGTGGCAATGTTTATTTTTCCCAAACACCACTCGACCCCGCCTCACCCCTTCTTGGCAGCGATGATGAGCAGGTCGTTGAAGAGGAAGAGGTGGACGGGAGTGAACTTGGCCCTCATGTTGAACAGAGTTCCTCCTTTGGACATCTCCTGCAGCTCTCCCTTCTTCTCCAGGAATCGATTTTGAGAGATGATCGGGATGGCCTGGCGACGGGAAAGGATAGAAACGTTAACTTCTTTACTTCAAGTCCGGCTGAAATGGACGTTTTATAGTGGTCTGAGTTTACCTTGAGCTTGTCAAACTCCAGAGTCTGAGAGACGTGGATCAGCTCCTCCATCTGTCTCATCTTTCCCACCTGAGTGTTGCACTCGTCGATGATCTGTGAGCGAGGAAAGAGACAAAATGATAAAACAACAGCATCATGAGTGAAGAATTTCAGTATCTTTCCACACCTCATTTTACCTCCAGCTGTCAATATATAATACTGGCTGTGCCTCACAGGGAGTATCAGGTTCTCTCATTCTTTTGAGGAAAAAAAAAAAAATCAGGCTCTAACTGCCATTGTCCTCACTCATACGAATGAGTCACTGTCACTGCAGAGCTCGTTCAATGGGAAATCTTTCACACAGACAAAGGCTGACGTCAAATTTCCTGAGGCGTGTGCAGCATTCAAATACATGAACCTGTATTCAGAGGAGGAGGGTGAGGAGTGAGGGACGTTTACCTTCGACATGGAAGCCAAAGCCTTGGAAGCAGTCTCCTCCTCTTTCGTCCCCTCCTTTGTCCTCTTCAGGATGTTCTGCAATGACAAACAACAACTTTCCATTTCTGCGACGGACAAACAGCGGGACGCATTTTTTCCATCTATGTCTAAAAAAAAAAGGGGTCATGAGGTTGAGGCGAGGTGTGTCAGAGTGTTTGCTTGTCGGTCAAGAGGCAGTGGCAGGTAAAGATTGTGTTTGAATGACGACATTCCACGCAGCGACACACCCTGATGGACTCAGACGACTGCCTTTCAATAGCACAGGGTCAAGTATACTAAATATTTTGCAGACTTCTGTTTAGAAAAGTATTTAAAGGTTACAAATGCTAACTGCACAGTGGTCTCGCTCCACTCACATTTCCATGACGAGGACTAAAACTCAATACGTTTCTTCCTTTGTAGTGAAAAGTACTGACTGCAAACCATGAATTCATCCAGACACTTCAGTCTATATGAGATCGCATCATTTTTATCCTAAGATCCAACAAGCACTTGGAACACAAGAAACGTTTCCATGGACACCAATATTCCGATATTAACCCCATTAACAATAGTCTGAATAGGACGCTGTCATGTAAACAGCATTTTCTGATTACCTTAATACTGATTAGGTCATACTCAGAATAAACCTCATTGTGCAGCAATAAAGCTGTTTTCTAGCATTAGCAATGCAACAAGTGGTGTGTGTATAAATGTGCTCCTGCTATTTATGATTATATTATATCATCATCTCAATCCCACCTCCGTGAGCATTTTGATACGTGTTATCCGCTGGAAGGGAAGCAGCAGAAAGGACATGAAGGGCAGCCGCTGGCACTGCGGCGACTCCTGGAGACGAGTGATGACGGCAGCAAACGGCGTATTGTTCTTCCTGTAGACAAATAAAAATGCACACGATAAACATATCTGTGGATTAATGCCAGGATAAAACTTATTTTTTTATTATTCGATATTGTATTTGTCACCTTTTTATTCCTCTGTTTTATCTTTCTCTAACTTTTATCCCTCTTTCTAACGCTATATTTAGAAACCGTATGAGACTCGCAGCTCTTCTTAGTATGTCTATGCACAGTGTGCCTGTTCCTACAAATAAACTATAAATAAATAAATAAATAGCCTCGAGCTTTCGTGCCATATGATGTGAGGGAAAACAACTTTTGTGAAGTTTTGCTGAACTATTGAGCTAAAAACACTCAACTTTTAAGTGAGAAAAGTGACATTTTAGAGATTTGAAGTAAATAATATATAAACATATAAATATAAACCAGTGTAAATTCACTTCACTAAATCCTATGAAAGCCACTGAGACATCGTGCTGCTGCTTACATGAGAGTAGTGAAGATCTTTTCTTGGTAGATCTGGTTGCGAACGTAGTCGATGTAGGCGGGGAACTTGTGTTGGGCGTGGTAGTGGATGATGTCACAGATGTCGGAGAAGACCAGGTCATGGAATATGCGGTCCTCAAGGTCTTTCAGGAACCTGTGGAATCAGACAGCAAAGCCTCAAAACCAACAGAAAACTGTTTAATCTCATAGTAGCAGCTTTTAGAATCATAACAAGCAGAAACACAAACAATTCAAGAACTTTTTTTGACCAACACATAAACTAAAGTCTGCCTGAAGTCAACAAATGACTCATCACAAACGCCAAATGACCTCATGGCAACTCTAGTCATTAATCATCCTCTGATTTCCCTTTTCCTTCATCCTTCCGTCTGCTGTGTCTCACCTCTCGCTGACCTCTCTGACCCTCAGGATGTTGGAGAAGAGAGTCTTTTTGTCCCGGATGATCATCGTGTCCTCCAGCTCGCGGCTGTCCAGGAAGTGCTCGGTCAGGACCCGCAGGGATCGAAGGTACGAGGCCTCCGACGTCAGAACTTCAAACATGCTCTGCCAGGAGAACAGGGGATGGAAAAGTTGGTGGTTTGTTTTTTTTTGCGGGGGGAAAAAAATCTGATCTGGTGTTGGAAAGTCGAAAGTGTGACTGTAAAAGCTTCCATGAACTTGGGTTAAATCAATATAATGCGAGTGATAGAGTGAGGGAGAATGGAGCTTAATTCATATAAAAGCATCACATTATTACTTTAAGATGTGATTTATAACTAAACTGCATCTCTAGTTTCTCTCCTCCTTGCCTCATTGATTTTTCTTTATGGGATCTCTCCTCTGTACATTAGCCTCTGCCCCTCCCCCATCTCACCTCCTGGTACTTGCACTGCTCGGGGGTGAGTTGCTCTAACGCTCCGCTGTCCCTCACAGCCGGGAGGTCCTGCCACAGAGTGCTCTGATGGGGTGCGGCCACAGGGCTGCCCCTGGGGGGTCCGTTTCCTGTCATGGCTCCGGCCCCAGTCCCAGAGCGACGGGCCGTCAAATCCATAGCAAAGTCCACGCTGGCCTTACTGATGTTACGGCAAACTGTCTGCCGTCGGATCTCCTTGTTGATGACAGTGGCGCGGTATGTTTGGTAAAGAGGCTCTGAGAGAAACAAGGAACATGAGAGGTTCAGCATGTAGCCGGGACACGTGTTGTCCCCAATACATGATACAGACATGTTTATCTGACATGTTTTGGCCAATCACAGACACGATTCCCTTTGCTCTGAACTGGAGCAGCGAGTTAAATATTGAATTGCTCACTGTTACTGTTTTACTTCTAATGGTTCAAACTCTACAAGCTGTACATAGTCCATAGTAAGATTGCAGTATAGAATTGGGACAAGGCAAACAACTGTGTGCTGCAGATAAAATGATTGACTATGACACTCAAGCTAAATTATAATGTTGCATTCACTGACATTACATGTGATGCATACGCTGACTTTTTATGTTGTGTTTTTTTTTGTGGCGGATCTGGGATTTTTCTAAATCAGAGGCCACAATTTACAATGAGCGGCCAATTATATGTCCAACATCCATGCACAGATGATTTAGTACGGTGCACGTTTGAGTCATTCCTCGTTAACTGTGAGTCTTACCATCCTGTAGACGGGACTCCCAGAAAGACACACCCCTGAGGGAGCTGTTCCTGAAACAGGAAGTAAGGCCAGAGGATGAATGGATGAGAGAGTGAATGAAACAGTTATTTATTCCTCCATAAACACAAAACTTGACCTGCGAAATTATATATTTTTCTATAATTTACAGATTCCTTAAAAACACCTGAATACATCCTATCTATAACTATTTCAGTTAGCTTCATCTTGTTAAAAATTAAAGTCAGAGGTCTTAAAACTCACACTTCTTCCACTTTGTCGTCTTTATCTCCTTCATTTCCTCCATTCTCCTCTGCTTCTAAAAAAGAAAAGTTAATCACGCCCTTGCTTTCAATTACACAGGTAATTAATTTGTGAATCATTCTCCCCTCAGGCGAGGATGAAAGCGTTCGGAAAACAAACCTCTTTTCGGCGCGAGGGACTGCATCGAGGCGCTGCTGAGCCTGCGAGGGTCTGTCTTTGGTGGCGCCGGCGGGGGTCTGTGAGGCTGCAGGGGGGTGGCCAGGGGCGGAGTGATGGCTCGTTGGGGGCTCAGGCCGCTGGCAATGGAGCTGCAGGGCGATGAAGGTCTAAGGGCCCTCCACTCCTCCAGGGTGGGCTGTGGGAGAGGAATCCCGCCCCGGTGCACCGGCGAAAGGCAGCGGCTGTCTGGAATCACAGGCATCCTCGGGGGGATGGCAGGCGGCGCGTCTTTCTGGCTGGAGGGTTCCTCATTCATCTGAAACTCAGATGTAGGGTCTGAGGTGCTGTAGGACAGTTTAGACCGACGCGCCGGTTTGCGCACCTTGATAAGAGGAATATCCAGTTCCTTACACACAGGTGCTGTCTTTTTAGGAGCAGGGTCAAAAAATGGAAGCGTGGCCTCGTAAATATTGTCTTCGTCATCTTGAGGAGGTATTTGGTGGACTGGGGGCGACTTAGTTAGTTTTGGGGGAACAGGGGGAGACTGAGAGCGAGGGACAGCGAGAGAGGTGAGGACACTGTGGGGCCCGGGGTCCGACCTCCGTCTGTAAGCCTCAGAAATCAAAACATCCAAAGACTGGTTGAACTTTGCTTTCTCTTGTTTCATGTTTTGCATGTCGGTCTCTTCGGCCTCAGAAACCCCGTCCACCTCGTCCCCGTCCTTACTGCCCCCGTCCCCTCCCAGCTCTATCTCCTCATACTCCAGCCAGTCTTCCCCATCCTCCCCCGTCTGCTCCTCCACATCAGTCTCATCCTCTTCTCCTCCTCCAACCTCCTCCCCACCGTCATCCACTTCCACGGGCACCCATATCAGTTTCATGCCAGGCCACTGGCGGTGGCACACGCAGCTGCAGCTGGGGTCGCAGCAGGGACTGAGAGGCGTGTCCGGGCTGTGCCCCACCTCCGCTTCACCTCCTCCAATCAGCTGCACCTCCACCTCCTTTCCATCTGGCGCTGCATTGAAAAAAGACAACACACATCAGCTGCTTTGAAATGAAAAGGGGACAAAATTAATGACTTCTTCCTCTTCATCTTATTGGTTTCCTGTCTACTTTTTTCTTACATCTGCGTCCCCAGACAGAACAGCTCACTTTGATTAAGAGCCCCTTCTTTCCCCACATCTGCTGTCATGGCACATGCTGGACTGTCGAGTCAGCAGATCATTACTATGCAGCGCGTAAAGTGTCTTTAACTATTCATGGAAAGTTTGGATCATTGCAAAGGAAGGATCCAGTATTGACGAGAGGAAATGGACGAGTTGGAGGAACGAGGGAGAAGAATTAGGACGGCGGCCGCCTTCAGAATAGAGTATTAATGATTGTTTTTTTGGGAGTTGAACTAAATGTCAAACAATTTCTATATCTGTCAGTAAAAACACATTTTGAACAATACAGTTCAACCAAACACAGATTATTCTCTTCAATCACTTTTAAAATATACTTGTTTAAGGATATAAATCAGATTTAGCCTTTCAGACATTTTTAAGTGAGTATAATACTTTTCATTATTGCTCATTTATTTATTCACACTCAATTGCTCAAATATCACCAGTAGAGTTGAATTGATTTAACGATTATCCATTCAGCCAATATAGAAAATTAGAGACTTATTCTCAAATTGGATTCATAAGTTGAAAGTTATTTTTTAGGCACAAATGCAAAACATCCTCTGGACCCAGCTCCTCATATGAGGCTTTTGCTACTTTTCTGTTAGCCAATAAGGATTACATTATTTTAAAAATGAATATATATTGGCAAAGAAAGGTTTGCATAACGTCTTTGTGTTTCAGACAGGAAATCAAAACAAGGAAGTGATAATGTGTGTAACCAAAGAGGAAATTATTTACACTCAAACAATTAAATGTCACTTCTTGGGGTTTCCTCTTTTCTGGAACATGGACAATGTTGATCAGTTTGACACATTGAGGAACGTTCCCTATTATACAGACTGAAAGTGAAAGAATCTCCCAGTGTATAATGTGCTTTATATTACATCTATATATATGCTGTATTATCACCAAGCCGCAAACCCATTTCTGCACTGAACCCTGAGTCTTTTGAATGTGTCGAATAGTCAAACTGATCCTCACAAAGACATAAGCACACACACACACGCAACACACACGCACAGATGTGTGTGTGCTCAGGTAATCAGCTGACTGACAGAACCTGTTAATGGCTGTTGGAACAGATCAGCCAGTGGCACCACACCTGTCTCTGAAAAACACCCTGACAGTGCCCTAAATTTAGCTTCACAATCTGTGCACATGCCTTTACATGCAGACACACTTTCAAAATTTTCGAGATTATGTTTTTCGTTTCAGTTTAATCAACGGTTTAATCAGTCTGACGTCTTTGAAACTGTCACTGTACCTGATCGACCTCCGTCCACACTGATGCCATCGCCCCCGTCTCCTCCCAGGCTCTTCGTCTGTTTCTGCTGGATGCGACTCCTCTTCATGGGCAGCGGAGGAGCCTGCTCCTCCTTTATCTGAAGCTGCAGGCTGCTGCGGCCTGGTTTGGGCTTTATTGTCGGCGGCCTCCTGAGCCGCTTGCTCTGTGTGACTGAGGTACCGTTGGTGGGTCGTTCTTCCGCCTCCTCCTGCACAGAGTTCTGCTTGCTGAACTTGTTTACAATCCTTTTGACTTTCCCAGAGGAAAGGTTTGTGCCGTCGCCTCCGTCCCCCAGAGGTGGGGAGCCAGTTTGACTTGAGGGCTTCGGGGGGATATCTGGTCTTGGCTTGGCCTCAGGTTTCATGGTTGGAGGCAGCGTTTGCCCCTGGGAAGCTTCCTGGACAGACATCGTAGCTCTCTTACGGCGTGTTTCACTCTGAGCCCTGACCAATCAGAGGTCAGGCTTTGAGGGCAAAGGTCAGTGTTGGTGTCATCACCACCTGATGAAGAGGAAAGAAAGTCAATGCCAGTTTAATTCATAAAAACAGCTCCTTCAGTGACATGACCTGAGGCAGGTTATCAGATTTCATCAAAAGGATTAATAGGACTTCTTTCACAAATGTAGAAGTTCTCCACGACACATGTAAACAGGCCTCATAAATAAAGCTTTAACCAGAGCCTGACCAATTCATCAGCTGACCGGTAAAAAAAAAAAAGCAGATAAGAGCCTTTCCTTTCAGACATTAAATAAAATGTTATTGTGGTTTTATTGTTTTATCCTCATGTGAAGCAGCTTGTAAAAAGTGCTGCACACTTAAAGCTAACTATTATTATTAACATGCATTTAAGTTGCATGGTTCGTCTAAAAGTTTCAGTTTCAAGGTCCACGTGTCATAGTTCTCAAACTTTTCGGCATGTGGCCTCTTACGTAACATGGTTCACTGTAATTATAGTAATTTTCTGTAGCTGAAGCAAACATTTTCAGCAAGGCAATAAGCACGAAACAGTCAGTGTGTCCATAACGGTACGTTCCTAGGGTCAGACTGTGAGACTCTCAGATGACTAATCCCCCTCAGTAAGGTCTCTGAGGAAAATGAACTTTGCCCACTTAAAGGGCCCACACCTTCCTTGTGAGATTACGTTCCAACATAACACAACAGGAGGAAATGTAAAACCAAAGTCATTTGTTTAAGGCACTGAAAGGTGACGAAGCGATCTGCTCTGAAAGTCCCTGCGACTTTTCAACCTGTTCTAATCTCATGATTCAGAGCTCAAACACCCAACTTTGTTTATTAATTTACTACCTTAAAGGCGAAATGTATCAGCTGTATCAGAACATCTCGTTTGCTCTTGATTCACGTATAACACAGGTTCGAGTGCACTGATGTGATTAATGTTATTAATAGCTAACCACTTTTTCAATACAGATGCACATCAACACAACAACCACCTGCTCCACCCTGTCCACCCTGTTCTCCTGACAGTTCAAATCATTCCAGGTTCTTTGTTTTACCTTTCAGCCAGGTAACACTTATGACGCTCATAGACGCCTTATATCGTTTCTACAAATTGTTGTTAAGCGGGTTTTCTTCTCACAGCTTTGTTTGATTGTGAGCAGGTTTACAACAAAAAAAACAAAACCTACTGACATTTGGTGGAAGGATGGGACCAAAAGGACCCATGCATTCTTTTGAAATTTTAATTTTAGTGGTCATTGTCCGATCTATTAACACGGTGGAGGCAGGGTTTATGATGTATACTACAGCCAGCCACCAGGGGGCCATCAAGATGCTTTGGCTTCACTTTTGAGGAGCTGTCATGTTGTCCATCTTAATAGTCTGTGCGTGAAAACACATACATGTTCGTGATTTCTGAACACTAAATGATGTTTTCAGCCAGTTTACAGATTGTTGTCTTTCTGCCAAATCTTTAATCCTTCAAAACTTAAACCTCAACAAATTTCTCCAAATCATTCAAAGGAGGCAGTCAAACCAACACTGACTCTTTTCTTCAGCCTGTAAGTGTCTAATAAAAGAAATATGATAACATGAAATTCATTTTCCATTCTGGGCGACCAAATGTCCACGCTGCAGATTCCTCTCACCATATGTTTTATTGATGTGTGTGTGTGTGTGTGTGTGCGAGCTGATGCAATATCAAACTGGACGAGGGTTACTCATCTTCTGACTCATACACAAATGAGAGAGCAGTTACACTGCACTGATTTGAGAGACTCTTAAAGGGGCACGCAACCTATTCCGGTTATCTCCGCGATAGTTCGGAGAAACCTTCGTCAAAAATCAGAGCTTCAAACTAGAGGTGAGGAGTTTGAAAGATAAAGGAGTTGTTAAAGGTCTGAAAGATGTAGTTGGAAATGCATTGTGGGAATTGTAGGATTGTTTGTTTTTGGAGCTTGATCAATAAAACTGAAAAAAAGTCAGGATATCAGGGCCTCTGCTGCCCTTACTTTTTTTTAATCTGCCCTCCTGCACATCAAATCTCCGATGCCTCCGATTTTCAAGTGATGACCGCATCAAACAACAACAATCAGACCGTTTGGTGCGGTCATCACTTGAAAATCGGAGGCACTAAAATTAAATTAATGTGTCATAAAGCAGTAAACCACTTTGTGAATGTGTCGGCACCTATTATTCTGCAGATTTGATGTGCAGGAGGGCAGATTTTAAAAAAAGGAAGGGCAGCAGAGGCCCTGATATCCTGACTTTTTTTCTGTTTTATTGATCAAGCTCCAAAGATCAGCAGGTAAAACAAAGCTTCATGATTCATACTCTAACTTGACTGGAGCTGTTTGTTTCTGAGAAAGTGCACCAGCGTGTCTGACCAGTTTGAAAGAAGTTGCGCCTGCTGCTGCTGCTGCTGCTGCTGCAGCACAGTCACCAACGGGGTGTCACGTTTCAGTCTGAGGGGAAAAATGTTTGTTTTTGTGAACAACTAATATAAAAATATAATGACAACACGACAAAGCAGGAAGGAGTGGAATCAATATTGAGTGGAGTTGATTATTAAAAGCGACTGCGACCGTCATGTGCATCTGACACATTACATTGTGTGTGTGTGTTTTTGTGTTGCAGGTTTGTGAAGGTTTCAGTTTTGGCCCTCTGGTTATATCATTGTCCACAGGATGACACATAAACCTAATTGGAGGGTGTGTACAGTCAAAGCACTCACAACAGTCTGATATGTATTACACTTGAGGTTACATTCCCCCCCCCTTGACTTTCTCTCAATCAGCCCCCCCCACCAGACTTCAGGTCTTTTGTCCGCTGTCTTTTCGACCTGGTTCGTTCAATAGCTGCATCCTGCGGTCTACTGGACTTGTCACAGTCCGGCTGGGTCAGTGGGCCACTCATTCATTCCAGTGGGTGTGTTTGTCCTGGTGAATCCAATTCGTATCAGATACGGTGTGATCCCTCCAATCAGGGCAGCTCGAGAGCAATCCTTAAGTGCTTTAAGGGGGTCCATCAACACAATGCATGTGTATACAGATTACCATCTGCTCTGAGACTAATGGGTTAGTGTGTGTGTGTGTGTGTGTGTGTAAAATGGGTAGGGGGTCTTTAAGAGAGCTGCACCAACCATTATGCTACATGTGATGTGCCTGTAAGCTCCACGCTGGCCAGGAAGCAGGGACGGAAAAGGTGTGTCGGAATAGAAAACACACACACAACAAACACTAGGGGTGTTATTGGTGGGAATAAATTCTATTGCATATATACACACAATGGTGCAGCCCACTTTTCCATAGATCTGACTTATTTACATTGTAAATAATGTGTTATAGGTAATTATCACAACTTGGACGCACAATGAATCTTCCAGTAGTGGTCTAACCTGTATGTGTTTCCAATGTAAATATTCCTAAACATGAGTTAAGTGTCATGACAGATTATTCAGTATGTTTGTATATAATAATCTTTATTTCTGTCCCTTATATGGTCTGTGAAGGAGTAACAGTGGTTAAAGAATATTAAATGCTGCAGTGTATAAAATTACTTTACAGTATAGCAGCCTCACTATAATCTTTCACCAGCTTTCACAGGTATTTCTGCGGTTTCCCGTAAGGGAACAGGTGCTTTCAGACTCCAACATCCCAATTCAACCAAACTCCACTGGCAAACACAACCAATAATTCACAAATCTCGCACAAAACATGAATTAAAAAAAAAATAAAACTTACCAGTGTTATTCAGACATGTCTGGTGGTGTCTCCTCAGTTATTCGGCTCTAGTGTCGGCAGTCCAACATGGTGTAGTTAGCGTTTCCAAGACTGGAAGCTGCGGGTTAAAATCTGTCAGCAACGTCAGTGTAAGTTAAGGCTTCAATGTTAAAATGATGCATGAGACGAAGGAGACGCGGGTCAGTGTCTCATTGTTTGAGTCTGGGCGAAGCTGCCATCATCCCCCTCCTGGCCCGACGTCTCCCCTTTGTTACCCGGAGCTCCGGTTCAGTGAGAGGGGAGGAGAGGGGAGGCAGGAGGGGAGGAGAGGGAGGAGGAGGAGGAGGCAGGAGAGAGACGACCAACCAGAGCAGCCCCGAGGAGAGGAGACATGACTTCAAAATAAAACTCATCATAGTCCTGTAAGTCTTTTTTATTTAATACATCAAATAAGTATAACTTCACATATTATATCACATATTTTAAGATCATAAAAAACATTTGCAGAGTTTGTTTGTTTATTCCGTTCACTTAACATTTTTCAATACCGTCATTTTCTTTTATTATTTTTGCTGCAAATCAAACTTACCATTAAGAGAGTAATAAATAAAGTAATATCTACTGTATTAGAATATATAGTATAACATGTAAAGTTAGGGTTTGTGTAAATTTGTATTTTATAACACGTGAATTTTGATTCATGATTGCGAGAAAGAACTCTGTAAAAGTTGTGTCACATGCATGTTAAATTCATCTTATAGGTATTATATCTTATTGTCTTACGATTTGTCTTTTTTAATTATTGTATGTTGATGTTTTCGAACAGAAATGTTGCTTTCCTGACATCAGGGTGACATAAGGCCTAGTATTAGTTTATGGAGACTCTTATTTTGAAGAACAAAATATCACAACTGCAGCAGTTTCCGGCTCTTCATTGTAAACTTCAACAACTTCTTACTTCTGACAATTAATTCAACTCATCAAAACCCTGAATCTGAATGTTACTGTTGATTTTATAGATGCATTGTATAAGTCTTTATTTATCGGTATCAAACAGTGATCAATTATATTTTAAGACACATTTCGATATGGTGATTGTTGCCTGTAAATAAAATCATATGGTATAGTAAATAAAAATAAATAAATGATGTCACTGTTGCTTGTTTTCATATAACAGGTGGATTGAAGCAGGTGCTTTTCTTCTACGTCACTGCCCATCGCCTTGTTCAAATTATGTCTTCTACCGCCATCTAGTGGCAGATCCACGAAGTGTTAATACTTAAACTAATATTCAGAGCTGTAAATATTAGCAAAAACCTAAAAATCTAATTTCGGAGAGGTAAAAAATAAGAATCCTCTCAAGGGAAAAAGTGACAACAATGATAAAATTAATAAATGTTCCATTTTAATTTTAGTTTAATTGCCAATTCAAGATTATTTGCTATCTTAAAAAGTATTGGGTTTCTATGTAAAATGTTTTCACCTTTCCTAAAGTTTAACTTTGTCTCTGAAAGTTTTTTTAAATTATCTATATAAATATATTCCATTGAATATCTAATCATGTCAAACGCCTCCTTGTTTTTACAATACAACACAAAATATCGACTGTGTCATAAAGCACTTAATGCTATGTAATGATTTCGATCTCCAAAGTCAAATATATTATTTGTAAGATAAGATCACTATTGATTTAGAATTGGAATTTTGATTTAATTTCTTGCAATACAGAATTGTTATTTTTGAGTTGCTGACAATCACAAAAATTGGTCCTTTTATCATAATTCTGACTTTAAACTCCCCCAAAAACTAAAACTAAGAATTCATTTCTCACTTCGTACTTGCTGCAGTTAAAGATCACTGTATTTGTGCACATGTAGAATTTCATTTATTTATTATTTTTCAATGATGATGTGATGAAGGTAACTTAAAGTTCTGTGATTCCTGCAGAGCGCACCAGGCCATTATGAATGAGAAGTAGACCCGGTCACTCTGATGGACGTGACACGCTGCAGGACCTGATCACTTTGGACCTGCTTTCATTGATCGACCATCTATCGGGACACCGCGCGTGGGTCCAGATCGGTTTAATCGATCGGCGGCGCGAGCCGAGGGAAACACGCGCGGCGCAACGTGGGTCTATTCAACGTGGATGTCCCCGCTGCGCAAAGATACTGCGGCATTTGCTTTAAACCGGGTGTGCGCTCGTGTCCCTCCGCCGACAGAGGAAGTGCTCGCAGACCAATCACATCTGTGTTTACACCATCACCTGTCACACACACACCCTCCGCTAGATTTTCTCTCTGTCAGGTAGGACTCCGCTATTTCTTTTATTCTGATTTCTATTTCTAAATGTGAGCAGGGAGTCAGAGCCGTGATGTGGCGGCGGAGGAGCCGGTGGGACTGAACCGAGCAGCGGCACCTGCAGCAGCAGGCTGGGTTAGCCCGGTTAGCTCCCCTGGTGCTAGCGGGGCTGGTTATCTCCCTGCCCGGCTTGGGTTTTTTTTTTTCTTGCAGCCGATTATCAGAAAGTCCTTGCGCCTAATCATCCCCGTGCTGAGGTCGGAGCACAGCGTTAGCTTAGCCCGCGAGGCTAAGGGGGGTTTGGACGCACTGGCTCATCAGGCGTTAGCAGAAGATCACCTCCGAGCTAACATCCTCTAGCTAGCAGGTGGAGAGATGCAGGCGGAGAGATGCAGGTGGAGAGATGCTGGTTGTCCGGTCTGCACCGTGCACGACTGGATTAATGTCCCCCGTCCGTGGTGGGTTAGCATCGGGAGGAGAGTGGTTACACAGCGGTGTTGTTAGTCCCAGTGTTCGCACGCAGCCACGTTAAGAGCTCTTTGTTTCTGTCCTCTCCTCCAAGTTTCCTCGCTTCGTGGCTTTTCCATGTGTTTAAAAGAGCAAATGAACAATGACGATCCACGACAGGGGGACTGGGAACTGTGGTCACTCATCTGATGAATCAATAAAATGTGTTTAGATCCACAGAGGAATGTAAAAAGAGAAATCCATGCAAACGTAAGAAACAAAATGTTATTTAAGTATCAAAAATAATTATTAAGTGGACGTGGTGCTATTCACAACACATTTTTAAGGTAATTGTATGCAGTCTTATTCTGCACTGCAACTATATATGTGGATGAGGTATAGATTGAATAAAATATATTGATTTGTTTATATTTTATGAGCCTTTATATAATCAGATTAGTTTCTTTCAACAGCAAAAGTAAAGACATCAGACAAACGCATACATTACATTAAAACTCCATCAAATACAACTCTTACACACACAACCTGCACTCAAGGTTTTATGAGAGCAAAACGAAAAATGTCAAAATCCAAGTTTCCGTCTCTGAAATGTCGTAACTTTGCCTTGTTGCTTCCTTTGTTTGTACAAGCTTGAGTGTCCTGATGTCGCCACAGATTAAATCAGAAACGAGTTTGACTTGGAACTCCATGAACTTAATGTCTCTAAAGCCAGATCTGTGATCTTAGGTTTCAGAGATGTCACATGCAGTCACTCTCCATTTCTCTCTGAGCTTGTGAGGAAGTTTCTGCATTATTGTTTCATGTTTGCTGGCACAGCGAGTTCATCTAAATACTGTGATTCCGTGAAACAATGCATGGGCCTTCAACATCTTCTGCCTTGACAGCAGGCCATCCAATGATTTTCTCCACATCGACAGCTGTGACCAAAAAAATGTCCAAGAAAGTCTTTGGCCACAGCATAACCTCTTTCTGGAGCCATGTGCTCCAGATCTCTAGGCTGCCCCAGAGTGAGTTGCTCCAGATAATACAAACAATCTCCTGTTTGCTTTTGCTTCCACACAATGTTCAAAACGCTCCGATGAATGAAATAAATTGTAGAGGCTCTCCATCAAAAATAGAAACTCCTCTGTGTGGTAGGAACTGAGACTTCTGTGTCTGTACAAAGGGTGCTGTTACTTCAGTGACAGACTGTAGAGATCTCCAGGTACTTGAGGATTGCTTTGGGAATGTGTTGCTTGCTGACCACCAGAATTTAAATCTGATTGACGTGACTTTATTTGAGGTGTTTGCCACTTGAAGCTTGTCTACATAGCTGCATTTTGAATTTTCACAGTTGTCCACTTATATTAGTTTGAGAATTGAGTGCAGCTCCTTTTTTAAAATAGGACTCTATTCCATCCGAATGTGCATTTGAAACACTGCCCTGATATGATGCAGTTAACACTGATCATTTTGCCATAGTTGCTGCTATTCCAGTTTCAAGTAGCTCCACTTGTTCCTCTGCTCTTTGTCTGCAGCGCTGCAGCACGTGCTGTGAGTACAGCAGTGCAGATGATGGTGTGGACTTGCTGCTTTTTGAGACAGTATTAAACTCAGCATTTGAAATGCCGTCCTGAGGCTCCGCATGAACCCCATCATTATGAATATGGACACTTTCAGCATGAAGGCAACGTTCATTGCAAGACAACCAATTGTTTACATCAGCGATAAAGTCACTGACACTGATCATTTCATGCTTTTCCGCCTCTTTAGGTTACGGCCCCATCAAAGTTTCATGTTTTTCTTTTGCTTCACCACAGAGAACATTACATTTTACACCTTTATCATGACGTTTGTCACCCATCAAACCAACAATTAGCTCATTGAGATTGTCTGCTCTATGAAACCTCGTTCTGCAGGTTGATAGTTTTTCCACAAGTGCTTTTTATGTCAATTCAACAGTCTTTTTTTTACAGAGTAGGTCATATCAGCTTGAATCAGCCTGAGGCTCTGTCTCAGTTAAGAGTTCAGAATGGGAGTGTGTTCTTTACTCATAGTCAATCACGCAAGTTCAGCTTTGTGAACACGCGCTCACTTCACAACCAATGCATTGGATTTTACGCGCAAAGTTTGCACACGTTTACAACAATGGCCATTCTTTGGCTGGAGGTAGCGCCACACGTACCTTGGCGTTGACCGACGTGCAGGTGTTCTGAAGTTGCGTTTTCCTCCGTGCGCGTCCTCCGCAGCTCCAAACGCTCCGGTGCGCAACATTTGCTGGTCCCCGGAACACAGCCAACCCACAGCAGAAGTCCAACGCTGTTATTTGGACATTATCTGGCATATTTGATCTCCTCGCAGATTCTGTTGCAACTCCACTAGAATTGAAATCAAAGTTGATCAGTGTAGTGACCCCGATGACCATCAAAAGACCAAATGACTGTTTTGACGAGTCCAGAAACGATAGTGTCCAGTTTCCTAAACAAACAGAGCAGAAGCACTTTCTCTGGGATGAGTCTATTTCCCAGAAACATGGATAAAAGAACTCATAACTTCCCTTTGCACGTTCCAAACTGTTTGCGTCTCACCAACAACACCTGTGTCCAGTGACCCCCTGATTATATGAACCCAGTGCCTCATTGACAGAGGTGCTACTCCCCCAAGTGGTGGGAGGTTTAACAGAACAATAACAAAAAGGCTCTTACAATTAGTAACTCAGTATAAAAACAAGAGGCGCTGAATTCACCAAAGAAAAGCATTTTTTTTTTTTTTTT